TTAAAGAAAACGCGAAAATGTATTAATTTAAAAAATAAAAGAGATCTAGACCGTTGATTTAGTGAATTAAAGAATTTAGATTATTTATTAAATAAAAAAATCGATTTAGATCAATTTCAAGAGAATAGATATGATGACATTAAAGAGAGTTAATTTAATTTTTAGCTTGTGTCAAAGAGAAGAAAATACGAAATTTATTTTATTGTTTAGTGATAGTTATTTGATAGATTTTTTTCTTTTAATATGATTAACTAATAGATTATTTATAAATTAATATAAAGTTGAACTTAAATGTCAAAATCTCTATCTTTTAATTAGAATAATATGTACTTTTGTAACAATATATATTATTTACATACATATTCAATTAATATTGTATAAAATTTGACACATTCGTTATCGTTTTGCGATAAAAAATTTATATTTAGAAAAAAAAAGTTATATTAAGTAAGAGAATTAAAAAAATAAGAATTTTTTTTAAAAAAAAGATAGAAAGAGGCAGCATAGAAGTGAAGATTATCAAAAAGGTTTTCCATAGAATCTTGGAAGAAAAATAAAAAGGGAGATTGAGAAAGAAAAAGCATTGATGTAATTTAAAATTGAGGTATTATTATTTTGAAGAATTTTTAAATTTTTAAGTTTATTTATTTATTATTAAAATGACAACTTCTCTTTTAATATTAATAATAATGCATCAAATATAAATCTATAAAGTAATTAATTAATTAATATCGGTCCAAGACAACTCTGTGGAATTAACCATGGGAGGGCCTAATCATTCATGGACTCCGATTGGCCTTATACCCTCACATTAATGAGATTCTGAAATTGTTATCCAATTCATTACTGATTAGGAAGATTTATAAAGAACTCAACCATGCTAGATTTCATTAGTGAACACTAGCTAGTTAGTTTGCAATTTTTCCTATTCAAGACTTGATGATCATGAGTAAGGCAAGACTTAAGTACCCCTTCGAAAACAATTAAATAAAAGAGTAAAAGTGAAAATTAAAGAGGACTAGATCTACTACATCAACAAAATCAAGCGTCTGTCAGCCTATACATATCTTAATTACATCCAATGGACTAGTGGAAGCAACTGACTGAAAATAGTCTCCATACTCCTGCCCACTTAGTTTCGGAAAAACTCCTGAGGTATTGAAGAAGGGCAGCTCTTCTCTGCCACAAATTTGTACTGAAGCAAATCAAAACTTGTCAAGCATCAAACGTCAAAATATAGGAAAAAAACAATTGTCAATGTCATAGTGAAGGTAAACTGATTGATTGAGAATACAAAGAATTTCAGCGATTGCAACAGGTTCAGATTTCCAGGAAGAAATTCTTTTGGGATCTAAGTTTGCTGAAATTTTGGGCCAATGGCCATATTGGAGTATGTAAACATCTAGTGAAGTCACTGAATGTATTCAACAAGTGTATTTTTATGCAATGAAGCAAAGCATATAATTTTGATATCATAAGATCTCCTTCCTACACATTCTTTAGAAAGTAGAAACTCTACAAATATGAGAAGTTGAAAAAAGACAACAGGCACAACTGTGCCGACTACATGCATATGTCACGGGGTCATTACCCTCTCCCATGAAAACCGGTTGTCACAGGTTAGCAGCACCCCGCTTCTTATAGCCCAGGACCTACCGTTCCTGCCCGATGTGGGAGGAGTGGACCTTTCCTCGTCACACCCTCACCCACCCGATTCGACAACGTCCCCGTTGTCGGCGCACCGCTGCCGCCGGCCACCCTGCCTACCCCTCTCCGGCCTTTCCCGGACCCGGGCGCTTGGTGTGAGTCGGGACGAGGCAACAGGTCCTCTCTGATACCACTTTGTCACGGGGTCATTACCCTCTCCCATGAAAACGGTTGTCACAGGTTAGCAGCACCCCGCTTCTTATAGCCCAGGACCTACCCGTTCCTGCCCGATGTGGGAGGAGTGGACCTTTCCTCGTCACACATACACCCACTAGAAGAGGAATAGAAGGTACTTCTGAAGGGGCTATGCTTGGCAATATTGATTTAAAAGGTCTATAGTCTATAAACCACATGCACCTTGCGTGTGAAAGATGGAAGACCTACTCACCTTATGCTGACTATACTTCTGCTTGATTGCTGGCAAATTGGGACAATCACCATTAATGCAGAGATGATGCAAATCCTTCACACAGTTGTACAATTCAGAGGGTTGGTATAGTGCGTAATGCCCCAACTTAGAATCCTGTGCAACAGGATCCAAGAGTGTAAACAATTTTATCTAATAGAAGCCATACTAAACTAAACAAAAACATTTTAATAACAATATGATGGAGAAACAAAATCGCTGAGTTAGTATTGAACAAATAAACTTTCCTCTGTCCATACCCAAGGTTTTCTTGAAGGAGAGAGTATAAATTTGGCTAAGAAAACAGCAGACGCAGCTATTAAAGATGGAGCATAATGAAGCATTATGTACTCCAGAAGTGATAATTCTGCAATGTAGTTGGCCAAGCATTCAAACTGCAGAGATTGAACCTACAAAAGGCAGACATGTATTACCAGTATAGATTATTGGGGTTTTTAATATTGTCAGATAAACAGAGATTGAGAATAAAGACAAGATGATGTCCACCGTTGGAATGATTATAATATCCCATTGTATCTTTTAACTAGGAACTACATAAAAGAAACAACAATAATCATCACTAGTAACATTCAGAAATCTACTATCACAACCAAATCTAATTAAACTTAGTAAGAGAAGCAAAGATATGATGATGAATTTTTTAAAAAAATACCAGTCCAAGAGAGATGTACCTGATTGATCATTTGAGCTGCATGAACAAAATGCCTAGGCATTTTTCATGAACCACGTTAAAAATCTTAGCAGTATCTATTAATTGCTTATTCTATTTAAATATTTAATCAAACAACAAAAGAGTGAGACATTACCTCAGAAAAGATTTAGCTGTTGGGACAGTCATTTCAAACTTTAAATAATTCAGCACAGCAGATTCCATTTGCAAAATCTATAGCAATTAAAGTGGAAAAATAAAAATCCTTCTGTAGATTGAGGTGCATAAAGAAAATTGGAATAGTCTCTAACCAGAATACTGACCTCTTTCTTGCCATGTGAGTTACCAGTAAGATAGCAGAAGTCTTCCACCTTAGGTGAATATATCTCCTCGTATTTACTGGCGTCAAAATCATTATTCCAGTTGTAATGCATTTTTTTTATTATCTACATATTTAGACACATAAACATGCACAGGGAAGTCCATGCACAGAAAACTTACTGAGAACTTTCAACACAAAAAAGATATGGAATCTTACGCAGCAATCATCATGCAGGCAACTCCAAGCAACTGTAACTGCTGTCTGTTGATGGAATTGCCTGAAAGATAACGATCAATATAGTTCACCGTCAAAAATAGTGTCTCTGGTACAAGTCTGCACTCTTCAACCACCTACAGTTGTAATCAAAAGGTAAGATCATTCCAGGGGAAAAAATGCATATTAAAGTAAACAATTATAGGTCTTCGATGATATTGGCTATAGTATTTTAACAATGCCACTTAAAATATAGAAATGGCTGTGACAAATAAAAACAACCCCAAAACAGTACACTGAAGAGGGGTTGTTTCTTGGATCATAGAACTACCCAGGCAAGATTATCACCCACCACAATTTACCTCCACTAGCCAATTGATCAAAAGTGCCCGCATGCTTGCACTAATATCTTTCTGGACCATCTCCATATAATGTGCAGAAGGCCTTTTTACTGTCTACAAAACCCAAGGAATGAGATGAAGCAAAAGAAAAGTTTAGAATACAAAAATACATAGATCAACAGAGAAGAAGAAGGTTATGTTATTCAGCAAATGTAATTCTGGTTCTGTGCATAACAAGAGAATATACTACAGATAATGAATCAATGCAGCTACTATGCATAAGACCTAAAAAGTTTACCAAGAACCAGTTCTTGTAAAGTGTTGTGCTGCCTCAAAAAGAACAACCTGCAATACTTTCCTTTCCTAATTTTTCAACAAGTATTTCCATTTACATGAAACAATGTTTAATATTTTATACTTGCAGTTTTGAGTTAGTAAAGTTGACAAATTATCAGCCCCCGCTGCTCTAGAAAATAATCTTTTTTTTTTTTTGAGACCACAGATGAAACTGATATCAGTGCACAATATCAAATGTAAGGATATAACTAATACGGTAAACTTTTTTATTCCATATAAATTGGAAGAAAGTAAACATCTAAAGAAAGCTCAGAAATATAAACTAGAAACCAAGCAATAACAATGCAACTGTCGTTTCTACAAAAAACAGAGAATTTTAAGGTTAACTATGTCTATGCACATGACCTTTTTAAGTTACGCTACTTACTAGTTAGAAAAAGGTAGGTATACCTCAGATGCTCGCAAGTTCTTGTAAATGTCATGAGCAATGTGAGCACAGAACTGGGGATCCATGGAATCGTTACCAACATCAACAGCATCATCATTTGTTCCCATCTCCAAAAGTAGATTTCTCTTGCAAATCTTCCCTGAGAGCCAGTGCCAAAATCATAAGAAAAAAAAGATAGTATCTTTTAATTCGCTCTTTGCAAATCAAGCAAATCCATGTAAAATACCATACGCCTAAACTAATCTGTTCATCACAATGTATAACAATTCAACCAATAAAATTGACGGTATTCTTAAAAGAGTTCGAAACCTTCTTTATGCCCGCGCCCTTGACTGTAGAGATTGTTGTTTTCTTTGGTTTCGCTCGCTTTAATTGGTGATTTCGATGGAGAGATAGCCATGCTTCTAGCTGTATGCAAGGACTTCTCAGCTCGGCTTTTTGAGGTACATGGCACCTTCAAAACAAAATTTAGTTAAATCTTTATTTATATGCAGATTTTTAAGAAATTCAAACAAAAATGTTATTAACAATAACTACTCAAACAAGAAAAGAAAGAAGTGAACAACGAACCGATTTCTTGCTTTGGTTGGAAATGTCGCCAAGGGCTGGTCTCTTCTTAGCCAATTGCGGCTTCCCTTCGGCCATTGGGTTCTCTGAGGTGGACGGTGTCTTCGCCGTCGATGAAGATCGGCGACTTGGGGTCGACATTTCTTTGGAATCCGACGAGGTTGAGACAAGAGGGAGACTGGGAGAGCCGCCGGGGAAGAAAGTTGCTTGCTTTTTCCATGGTACTTCACTCCCTCAGTCAAAAGAGAAGCGCGAAAAAGTGTTAGTTGATTTGAAAGGTTAAAGGATCTTCACCGTTGGTTAGGAAGCAATGGGAGTGATCTGAACCGTCTATTTTCATATAAAAAAGAATATTAAATGGCCCAAGCAAGCCCAATGTAATACTTGACGTGTCCATAGTTTTGGTTTTAGACTTTTTGGGCTTAAGCTCCGTCAAAAAATGGGCTTTCATTCAAGAAAAGGGTCAATGAGCCCAAAACAAACTTTTTTGGTTTTTAATATTTAAATATACTTAAAATTTTTTAAATAATTTTTTATTCTTTCATTCCATTTAATCAAATTTTTATGTTTTTATCGTGAACTAAATAAGCCCTTACAACTAATGGTTAATTAATTATTATTATTCAAAATGACATTTATTATTATATATTATGTAATATTGACGTAACATATCAACATAACATAATAATAATGATATTGTATGTTGATGTGACATGATGACATGATTATATAGTAATTTTTACCTTATAAGTCAACATTATGTCAGCGTAACAAGAGTATAAAATAAAAAGTGATATTTTGATTAATAACAATTAATTAACTATTGTCATAAAAACTTATTTAATCAAAAAAATAAAAATATAGTGTTTGACTAATGACAATTACTTATCATTATCAAAATATATATAATGTTTAATCGAAAGTAATTAAAAATAAAGATTTTATTTAAATTTTCTTAAATAATTTTAAATTTTGTTCAAATATTATGCTTATTTAAAAATACCTTATTACTCAAGTTCTATTGTACCTTAAATTTCAGACTAATAGAAAGGGCATTAAGGCATTCTTATATTTGAAGATCATAAACTTGAGAATCCAAAAAAAAACCACCAAGTTCCATTCGACCTTAATCTATAGTATAAAAAACCATAAATCATGTCATATGATGGTGTTGTCTTCAACTATATACCTAATCGTTAAGTTTCTTATTTTTATGATTGAGTTTTTTTGATACTTGATTATATGGAAAATCTCAATTTCATACATCAAAAAATAAATTTGTAATTAAATACTTTAATTTTTATTATATTAAACAGACTGCACATCTTGCTAACTTCATTAGTCAAATAAAATAATGCATAAAAAAATCTACTACGAGTTAGATGCTGGACGTATTTATTTAGTTAATAAAATTAGTCTTAGATTTAAACTATTCAGTGAAACAAAGTTTGAGTACTTAATTAAAAATTTAAACATTAGATACCAAATTGAGTATTTGGTAATAGTTTCGATATCAAATATACAATAACCTTTTTCAACTTATAAAGATAAAAAGGCAAGGGAACGATGATCCATGCTTGCATTCATAGCAAATTTCATTCTATATAACTTAATTAGGTCATCAATAGAGTTAGTTAGGTACAAGTAGTTGTAATATAATTCCAACATTAATCTGTTCTTTCACCCTTAATATCATACACATTATCTCGATAAATTATTTCAAGATAATCTCTTATACTAGTAGTTTTCAACTCATAATTCTAATTTGATAATGTAGTATGAATAAATCAAATCAGAGAAGAAAAAAAGTTCCGTTTTAAATTCGAAATTTTCATGTGTAATGAGCATAAGATTAATTAATGGGAATAATTAGGAAGCCTCAATTATTTTGGTAAGAATTTGAATTACTTCCGTAGGGACAAAAAGGAAGAGAAAGAAAACTTTCTTCTTTTAGGAAAAAGAGACAAACAAAGGAAATACAACCACCCTTTCGGACCAACCACCCAAAATTTCCTCTAAAATTAAATTAAAATGAAATTATTTTGGTACAACTACATTATAAGATATCTGCTTTCTATGTGGAA